CAGTTGCCCAAAAACAACCATCTTCCTATCTACCAAAAGAAGGAAGATTTCAACCTACAATCCAAATGGAACCCAAGTTCTGGGATCCAAATCCAAATAAAATTTGCGAAAAAATCTTTCCACCAGGCTTTCTTTTCAAACCCCTTAGTCTTAACAAGACAAGGAAATTTTACGAATTCATACTGGTGGATTCTAAATCTGTTTCTATTAAACATAATTTTGATAGAAATGATAATCAGCTTATTACGCATTCAACTATTCAAATCCTCAAAATTTTAACTTTTAAAGATTTTGATAATAAACCAAATCAAGTCAGAAAATTCTCTCAGCCATTTGACCCAATCGGGTACAATTACTGGGATTATATCAGTGCCTGGACAAATGTTTTTTGGTTTCAAAACAAACACCATAGGCACTCCTGGCTAATCTATTTTAAACAAAATGTTCGATATTTCTTTCCACAATGGTTCGCCGAGTGGTGGGAGTATTTCGGGCCAATCCTGAGTATTCTTCCTTCAGACATCAAAAAAGGATATAATCAGTTCAAATCAAGATTTGAAGAAGGGACTAGCCAGTTCCATACATCTCTTCATTTCTTCTCAAAATTTTCTTTGTCATGGATTTTTGCCTGGCAACATCAGTTTAAGAAGACCTCCAAGCTTCTTCCAATCTTAGGTAAACAAGCCTCTGTCAAATGGTGGGATCAGTTTGATGCATCCCGAGCCAACACACAAGGGGTAGCACTTTGGTTCCAAAAGAATCTAAAGAGCCTTAAGGCTGCTGATCCAGAAACCTGCCAGTTTCTTAATCGGAAGTCTAAAATCGCAGCAGTTCTTGCAGCATCTACAAACGATGAAGTTTTAGCAGCAAATCTTCATCAGATTCTTGACCTCCTGCAGTCGGACTCAGAATCTAGCTCGTCTAAAGGAAAAGCCAAGAAAGAAGTCTCTTCTCCATCCTCTTCATCTGGGTCATATTTCCAGAATGAAGATGATTGCTTCGGAATTAACCTGGAAGAAGCATCTGAAGAAGAAAACTAATCGCTGTTGAAGCATTATTCCAGCTCTGAATATTGATGGCATTCTGACATCACCCTGACGAAAGAAGTCAACAACCCAGAGTCACTAATCACTGCTCATTTTGCGGAAGAGAACTGTTCACTATAGCGGAAGCGGAAGTGTACTGTTCACTGTAGCTGAAAACTTCATTTTACTGTTGTAATAGTAACTTTAAAGTTTTCTATAAATTTGTATCCTGCCCACAATGTGAGGCAGAACTTAGAAGCATACGAGAGTTAGTGTGAGAACCTCCTCCTTCTCTCTAGCCTTTGTATCTTTTCAATCAATCAATACAGCAATTTTGTATTAAAGTTACTCTTCTCTTCTCATCTCTTCCGCCCTCTTCGTCTGGCTTTGCCGCATTTGGGCTTTAACGTTTATATGCTTTGAATTAACTTTCTGTTTATTTACTTTTGCATATTTATCGTTTTATTTCTGGTTTTGCATGGTAGTCAGTCTACTGCCTACTTCTCTCCGCCTTCTCCCGTGATCCTCCCTGATCTTCCTTAGATACCTCAGTCTACTCATCCTGATAACAGGTTTGTCAATAATAAGTTTGATCTCACTCAGACTCTCAAACGTCTTGAAAAATCTACGGCTAAGCCTGTTACCATTCATGACCTTCAAACAGAAATTAGTTTTCTCAAATCTGAGATTCTCAATCAAGCTCTTCAATGGATCCGTTATCCTATTCCTAATAAAAAGGATCTTCTTGCTCGTTTACATTCTGCAAAGATCTTTTCAAAATTTGATATGAAATCTGGATTTTGGCAAATCCAAATCAATCCTATTGATCGCTACAAAACAGCATTCACTGTTCCGTTTGGGCAATACGAATGGAACGTAATGCCTTTCGGTCTTAAAAATGCTCCTTCGGAGTTTCAAAATATCATGAATGATATTTTCAATCCATACTCAAAGTTCTCCAGAGGTATCTAAGGAAGATCAGGGAGGATCACGGGAGAAGGCGGAGAGAAGTAGGCAGTAGACTGACTACCATGCAAAACCAGAAATAAAACGATAAATATGCAAAAGTAAATAAACAGAAAGTTAATTCAAAGCATATAAACGTTAAAGCCCAAATGCGGCAAAGCCAGACGAAGAGGGCGGAAGAGATGAGAAGAGAAGAGTAACTTTAATACAAAATTGCTGTATTGATTGATTGAAAAGATACAAAGGCTAGAGAGAAGGAGGAGGTTCTCACACTAACTCTCGTATGCTTCTAAGTTCTGCCTTACATTGTGGGCAGGATACAAATTTATAGAAAACTTTAAAGTTACTATTACAACAGTAAAATGAAGTTTTCCGCTACAATGAACAGTACACTTCTGCTTCTGCTACAGTGAACAGTTCTCTTCCGCAAAATGAGCAGTGATTAGTGACTCTGGGTTGTTGACTTCTTTCGTCAGGGTGATGTCAAAATGCCATCAATATTCAGAGCTGGAATAATGCTTCAACAGCGATTAGTTTTCTTCTTCAGATGCTTCTTCCAGGTTAATTCCGAAGCAATCATCTTCATTCTGGAAATATGACCAACCTTTAGAAAGGAGGTCCTTGACTTCATTTTGACAATGGATAACGAGTTCATGACTCATTTGGATGGGTCGAGCTTTGGTCGGGATTTGACGATCAGTGAAGTCCTTCTCATAGGGAAGATTAACCATATGTTTTTTACGATCCCAAAAGGCATTGGGAAGGTCAGAACAGATAACATTTTGAAATCGATCATGAAGATTGGTAATACGATTCTTAATATGAGTTTGAAAAAGTTGGCTTTCGATATGTTTAAAAGAAATTTCTTCTTTGAGGAAATTGATTTGATTAAGCTTATAATCAATCTGGTTGATATTCCGAACAAGAGATTTATTCAAGAATTTGAATGTAATGGTTTTCCCTAGGTGCTGAGTAGAGATACCATCATTGGAGATATGGATTGGAAAGATAGATTTAATGAATGGAGTTCCAAGAATAACATCATTCTTCAGATTTTTAACCAAAAGAAAAGGGGTTTCAACCTGGAGACTATCGTTTTTGATGGTGGCCGAAGGGAGCTTATACCTTATCTCAAGGCGGGAACCACTAGCGGTTCTGAGCTTTTCATAAGTTTTGTGGAAGTATTTGGTTGGTATAAGACCTTCCAAGATACAATTAGAGTCAGCTCCGGTGTCAAAGAGGGCGACAGTTTTTAAGACAAAATTGTCGATAAGGATGGTAACATCAACATAGAATTTTTGAATGTTACACTGATTGATAAGGGCGGTAAAAAGTTCATCGTCCTCATTTTGATCGGAATGATAACTGAGATTGTCCTGATTATCATGAATATTTTCATCAGAAAAAGCTTCAGTTATTTGAGAGATAAAGATCTCATGTAACTGTTGCTTTTGTTTGAGATCACGAATATATATATATATATATATATATATATATATATATATAAGGAGAGATTTGTTCACTCGTAGATTTACTTTATTCAATAACTTATATTCTACATTAAATTTCAACGATTTAACCGTTGAATTTAAAGTTTTTAGTGTATAGATCAAGTTTGCAAATTTTAAAATAATTTGAAATCATTTGATATTTCATTTCATTATTTCAAATTGATGGATAATCATAAAAGTATTTTAAACACTGATTTGAATTAAAGAAATGAAGTATTAAATAATTTCAAATTTTTTAAACATTTACAGACTTACTCTAATATAATGCAAATTGAATACCGATGAAATCATTAAATTATATGATATTATACTTAAGATCATGTATATCAAATTTTACATAATTCAAAAATTATTTAACAATTCATCACATTACTTATTTTAACATATAATATAATATTTAAATAATATGTAAATATCTATTATTGGATAATACATATAGAAAAGTCCAAATCATATTAAATTTGATATACATGATTGTGACTACAAAATCACATAATTCAGTAATTAGATTTGTTAAATTTGCATTATTAAAAAAACTATTGAAATTATATAAGATTTCGTATAGATTTTAAAACTTACATTAAGTATTAACGCATCTTATATCTATATATATATATATATATATA